CCAACTAGCCATCAAGCAAGGTCAGCTTTTACCCCAGAGTAAGGGGAATGGGAAGGTCCAAGGGATCATGGAAGAAGTTGCTTTGGCTGAGAAGCATCCACTGAAGGGAATGAATGCAAGTTCAACCCAAGAGAATGAGAGCTTCCAAGGAACCCCACATCATCAAAATAGAGAGAATCCCCCATACAGTGAGAAAAGGAGAAGATAGGGCCATTGAGACTGCTTGCTGAAGTGGAGAATGCCAGAGCCCAAAAAGGATGGGAATTGAAGAAAATCCCCAATGGAATAAGATATTGAGTGGGGTGAAGAATAAGTCTCTCCAACTGGATCAGAAAACCCCACCCGATGAGATTCCCAAGGAAGTAAGAATGCATGATTGACTGACTGGGCATGGGAAGAGGTGAGAAAGAGCTAGTTGTCCATGAAAATGAGAGTCCAAAAACCCAACAAGTGCAAATGACAGGCAAAAGAGTGAATCATCCAACAAAACACAAGTAGCCAATAAAGGACTGACTAACAGCATCCGGAACTGGAAGACATGACCTTTGTGGACAAACTGAAGAAGACAACATAATACTAGAGCAGCTGGAATATAAAGAGAGGCATCCATCATGATGAATTGGTCATCCAGATTCCCGGGACTCCTCCCCGAAGTAAGAGTAGGACTCTATGGTGAAGCGAGGTTGCTCCAGATACGAGTTTCCAAACTCCCACATTTTGAGGGACAATAACTGAGACGGAAGTAAAACCCCGGTCAAGTGTGTACCACTCAATCGACAGCCTCTTTGCATAGTAGGTCTTGACAGACCAAGCAAGAAGACTGGAAGAGGTACGATCTCAAGGGGGTGGGGGGGGTGGAACTGAATGCTGAAGCCCTCAGATAGAATCTGTAGAATACATGAAACTGTCATGACGTGTGGCAAAAAAAAAACACAAAACACAGTATACATACAGAAAGCACTCATTATTATTAGACAACAAAACTTAGAAATTTTTGGAGTCTACAAATAATGAACCTGTAAAAACTATGAAATTGGACCTGAAACAATAAGCAACACCTAAAGTGCAAAACCTCTAAAGGAACTTAGAAGAGAAAAAGACGTAAATATGAGTCCACTCAAAGAACCGAAAAGAAAAAGGACATGAAAGTAAAACATATCCTGATGAACATGAAAAGAAAAAGGCAAGCAGTGAACAATAAAAATTTTGTTTGTTAACTCAAATCTAATCATCAGTTAGATGTGACTATTAGTAAAGAAGAATGAACTTACAAACCAACATAAATAGTGAAAGGAAGTATAAATAAATAGCGAACCAACACACCCACAAAAGTGGCCAAATTTACAATAACCCAAATAGTAACGATCGTGCAAAACCTGTACATATACCAAAAATTAAACAAAAGCAAAGTAAAAGTCAAACTCTCAATGCAAATTGAAACTAAAGTAACCGAGATGGTAAAAGAATTATAAAAATCTATCTTACCAAATCCTGAGCAGAGAAGACATGAAAGACCGAAATTATTGCACGAGGAAATTAGGTCAATCCACACAACCTAACATAAAGTTGCTAAACACGGGTACACCTACTGGGAGTGAGGAATACACACTGAAAAACTTACCACAGATCTCCTGGAAAGAACAACAATATCTAACCCAGGAGATTTCACGGGGGCATGGAAATAGGAAAAAAACTAATATAGAAAGAAATTTCCACTCAGTAGTTAGAACCTTCCTCACAAAAAAATCATAAAGTGTGAGGAAGAAATCGTCAGCCAAATGTAAGACGTGAAATCCCCACAAACTAAAGCCTGTACTTCCCTAGCAGGCATCATCAACCCTAAGAAATGGGGACTGTGTCAGAACCATTTTCTAGTATGGTGGGAAATTCATCATTTGCCATATTAAGTCTCAATTTCATAGGAACAAATTAAAATTTGGAGAACCGAAATATTTCTAAAACAAACAATGGAAATCGAAACTGATAGAAATTTGTGATGCAGCATAATCCAAACTTTGTAACACTGGATGAGTTAAAACACAAGTCTATACACTAGAAAGCCAATCGATAAAGTGAGGGTTATGGTAAAATAGTAGAGGGAACTAGTTGTGCTAGTACAGATGATGCAGTAGGTTTGGTTGAGGGTAGTTACAGGATTAGCATGTTCTGAAAGGGTGCAAAATCAATGGGGTGTAAAAGACTGGTGCTCTAGATGAAAAATTATTTTTAGCAATGCTTATAGAGCAAATGAAGATCGAGATAGCTTTGGGGTGAGCGGAGGTAAGACCATTTCGGAATCACTATTTAATACTTGAAAGTCTACAAATCATTTTCTGAGTCAATACGAGCATTTTCCAAAGAACTCTGCATTTTACTCTCCTCACATTCACCAATTTCATCAAATTAATCTTCCAAGGTACATCTACATTTCATGGAAGCAGCCATGTTTCTTGACAATTCAGCATGTACTTCAGAACAAAAGTCCAGCTAAGTGTCATCTCTTAGTGAACAAGGAACTTAGAATCTATAGTAAGAGGCTTGAAGAATATAAATATAGCCAAAAATATAGCACAGTGTAAATAAATGTCATACATAACCTGGGAACATTTCTTGATAACACATACATACACACACACACACATATATATATACATCTATATACAACCTGCCCCCTTATGGGGATTAAACAGATTAAATGTTGAGTCATATCATTCTGTTAATAATGTAGCTTAAACCTGATTTCAAGAAGATTTTGTGGAACAGATGAATGTAAAGCAAAGAAAAAATTGAAAACATTAGATATAAGGTGATGAAAATGTTTTCAGCAGTCTTTGATCAAATAAGGATACTTAATACAAAATGTTATCTTACTCATAATGGGTACATTAATTAAATGCTATCTAATTTATGTATATTTTATATTCTTAAAGAAAGAAATTTTCTGACTATCTGACTTTGCTGCTAAGTTTATCATTCAGATTTTGTTCACTTCGTGGTAGTAGAGTCTGACACATGAAACGTACCGGCTCTTACTGGATTACGTGCATATCACGAACAACTGAGGACCACAGTTTCAGCTGTATCAGGTCAACTGTGATGTATGCATCGGGGAAAAGACTTAGTGTAGATACTGGCATACTTTTACATTCTTAATTTTTTCTTTTTCCTGTTCATCAAACTATCGTAAAAGAGCTATGGATCACAAGAATACTGAAGAAGATATAATATTTATTAATGAGTAAAACTTAATTTATTATTTTATTGTACAAACTAGTTACTCTATAAATAAATAAAATATTTTTCGACTACACCTTTTATAATACTGATTTATTAATTGACATCGCATGCATCGAACCTACCTATCAGTCCGGCAAATCGTTTAAATGTTCTAGGTATCCTAGTCTGTGGGTTTATTTCAATAAGAACATTTTTGTCTGTATGGACATACACTTGTAGGAATCCTGCTCGATTCAATGGACTGTCAAATAGCATCAGTAAACACTAAAAAATAAATAAATATTGAGACATATAAAAATACTTAAAACAAAAAATATGGCATACTGATATTCACATTATGTTAGAAAATTCTCTCTCTACGAAATAGAAAAATTCAATCAGAGTAGATAAATACTGAAGACTAAAGAAATTTTTCTAATTTGTAAAGATCCAGATTTCATAGACTTGCATGTGTTTGTTCTCTGTTTTGTTCTTCCCATAAAAATAATTAGTTATATCAAATTATTTCTTTAATTTTTTGGCATATTGGTTGGTTGTTTTGGTGCTTTATGGCGCAAAGCAGTGAGACTATCTGTGCCAAACAACCAATAAAAACAGTGAAAGTAAATTAGAATAAAATGTAAAAATACAGCGAGTTAAAACCATAATATTTCGATAAATGAGTTATATACAATTAAAAAGACCTATAGTGTGTAAAAAATTAAAAATACAACCTAGTTGGACAGCGTCACCATTACCAATGACACTGTCCAACGTCAGGTGTAAACTCTTAGAAAATGCATATCTAAAACGGTGCTGCCACTCATGGTCATAACAACGGCGCGACAGTAAAATGTGGGCTATTGTGACTTGAGTGTCACAATGGCTACTCATTGGTGGGTCAATACCGGATAAAAGAAAACGATGGGTTAAAAAACTGTGATTAATGCGTAGCCTTACCAGGACAACTTCCTCCTTCCAATCCTTACGGATGCAAGATGGCCAAAGGCCAACAGAAGGTTTGATTTGGAAAAGCTTGTTATGATGTTGCTCACCCCAAGTCGACTGCCAACTGGTACAAAGCTGTGCCTTGAAGACAGGACCGTAGTCCATGTACGGGATGGGACAGGCACGGCCGTGATGGCACCAGAGCAGACGGACTTAGCTGCAGTGTCAGCGAGCTCGTTCCAGTGAATACCGACATGGCCAGGTATCCAGAAAAACTGGATGGAAGCAGAAGATAGAGGAAAATTGGGCCAGTTGTTGTTGAATATTGACGAGAACTAACATTAAGCGATTCCAGGACCAGTAGAGAGCTAAGAGAATCAGTGTAAATAGTACAATTACTGTACTGAATAGCTTCTACATGATCCAAAGCGAGGGAAATAGCATACAACTCGGCAGTGAACACAGAAATTGTAGAGGGGATCCTGCGAGCAACTACCGAGCCACAGCACACCATGGCAGAACCTACAGAGTCACCCAATTTTGAATCATCTGTGTAAATAGGAAGAGAAGAAAGGCTCGAAAGATGTTCAGCAAAAAAGATGGTACTCCAATCGGGAGTATCCACCTTCCTCAGATGACTCAAGGAAAGGTCACAGGAAGGGATGGTAATAAGCCATGGTGGAATGGGCTGATCATTGGGGACAGCAATGTCATCCAATGCCAGACCCAATTCACCCAGTTTTACCCGGATAGAAAGGCCAAAGAGAGGAATAGCAGACCGTCTGTTCTGAAAGAGCATTGCCCACTGAGGAAGAAAGACACAATCCCAGGTGGGATGCCATGGTAAGGATCGAAACTTGGTAGCATATTGTAAAGAAAGGTGCAAAAGATGGAGGTGAAGAGGAGGTTCTTGGGACTCAGTGTACAAACTCTGGACTGGATAAGTGCGAAAAGCCCCGGTGCAGAGCCAAAGCCCCAGATGGTTAATAGGGTCCAGCATCTTCAAGGCCGAGGTCTTGGCAGAACTATAGACCAAAGACCCATAGTCCAGTTTGGATTGAATCAGGGCACGCTAGATTCTGAGCATAGAACATCGATCTGCTCCCCAAGAGCTGGAAGAGAGGACACGGAGGATGTTCAGATCCCTTGCACACTTGACACGTAGCTGCTTGATGTGCAGAATGAAGCTAAGCTTACAGTAAGAAATTAGCCCCAAGAACTTTGCTTCAGGGACCACACGATTAACTATATCGCCGGGACGGAGCTCGGGATCGAGACCCCGTTGGCTGCAAAAATGCATGCAAATGGTTTTGGAAAAAGAAAATTCAAAACCATTTACAGTGGTCCATGTCAACAACTGATTGAGGGCAGTCTGAAGCTGCTGCTCAATAAACTTCATGTTCGACGATTGACACAAGATGTGGAAGTCACTGACATAGAGCCAATTTGCAACAGTCAGAGGAAGATTATTAGTGATGGCATTAATTTTAATACTAAAAAGTGTGACACTCAAGACACAGCCCTGAGAGACTCCAAGTTCCTCTGGAAAGAAACTAGAAAGAGTTGAACCCACACGGACTTGGAATCACCTGTTCAGTAAAAAGATTTGAATAAAAATGGGTAAATGGCCATGCAACCCATAGGAGTGGAGGTCCTGCAAAATTCCATACCTCCACGTAGTGTCATAAGCTTCTCGAGATCAAAGAACACAGAAACAAGGTGTTCTCTCTTGAGAAAGGCTTCCCTGATTGACGTTTAAAGTCGAATAAGATGGTTCATGGTGAAGCACTGTCGACAGAATCCACACTGGGTGGGTGAGAGGAGTGTGTTTAATTCCAGGAACCAAACAATATGAGCATTAACCATCCTCTCTAGGACCTTACAAAGACAACTAGTCAAAGCAATGGGACAATAATTAGAAGGAATCTTGGGATCCTTCCCAGGTTTAGAGAAAGGGAGGACAATAGCCTGGTGCCAAGCATCAGGAAAAAATGCTCCTGTCAGATCCAGTTAAAAATAACCAGAAGAATAGCAAGAGAGGCAAGAGAGTGATGGTGCAACATCTCATAATGAACATCATCAGGTCCGACCGATGAAGAGCAAGTTTGAGTTCCACCAGTATAAAGGGGTGGTTATAATCATATAGATAATCGGCCCGAAAGGTAAGAGGCAATCGCTCTGCCTGAGACTTGATGGCCAAGAAGGCAGGGGGAAGAAACAAAAGTGCTAGAAGCACGAGAAAAGCTGTGGCCAAGAGCATCAGCAATGCTCTGGACATCAGCAACTTCCTGGCCATTGGAAAGCAAGAGGAAGATGGGAAGCATACCTCCCAGTGACTTTCCGAATCTTGTCCCATACAGTTTTGGAACTGGTGTTGAAAGAGATGCTAGTAATGAACTTAATCCAAGACTCCTTTTGGCTTTGATGTCGAACCTGCCGAGCATGGGCCCACTAATAAACAATGTAGTTAGAAAGAGGGATACCGTTGGAAAGTATCCCAGGCCCATTTTTGAGCCTTCAGTGCCTCCTGACAGGCAGGACTCCACCATGGACGAGGTTACAGTGGAAAACGTGTCGAGGTCTTAGGAATAAAATGAGCAGCTTCCTGGACGATACAGTCAGTCACTGCAACCACACAATCGTCTATTGATAGAAGACAGACAAAGGCAGGATCAAGTTCAGAGAGAGAGAGGTGAAAGATGGCCAGCCAGCCTGGTCCAACTTCCACCGTGGCACTCAGGTTGGGTGGCATCAACCATGGCCAAACTCCCTCATAATGATAGATAAATGATCACTGCCCCATGGGTCACTATCGACCATCCAAGAACAGTGAGTGAAAAGTGAAGGGGAGCACATTGAGAGATCAATGGCAGTAAAAGACTGACTAGGTGCATGAAAATAGGTATATGTTCCTGTATTGAAAAGAGAAAGGTTGGAATTTGATAGCATATGCTCTATGGAACAACCCCTCCATCAATATCAGCACCACCCCAGAGGGGGTTGTGCCCATTGAAGTCTCCAAGATGGCAACTGGTGAAGGAGAGCATCAAGGTCCGATTGATCATAAG